AAGACAGTGCTACTACTCTGGACATGGCACTTTCAACTATGGTACATGTGGTTGGTTTAAAAGACATGCTCAAGACCGCTCTGTACTTGGGCCTACAAGCAAGTGGAATAAAGGAACATGTACACATGGCATGAGCGGCAAAGGTGGAATGCACTTCAACAGTAACCCTTATTATACCCCAAACCCTAAACCCCTAATTGATATTAAACCCCAAAGGAACCCCTGTAGTAGCCCCTATAACCCTTTATAGTAGCCTTTCAGTAACCCTTATTATACCCCAAACCCTAAACCCTTAATTAGTATTAAACCCCAAAGGAACCCCTGTAGTAGCCCCTATAGCCCTTTACAGTAGCCCTTACAATAACCTTTACTATACCCCAAACCCTAAACCCCCAATTAGTATTAAACCCAAAGGAACCCCTGTAGTAGCCCCTATAACCCTTTATAGTAGCCCTTACAGTAACCCTTATTATACCCTCAACCCCTAATTCTTAGCCCTCTTATAGCCTTGTAAATCATATTCGTAGCCCTTGTGGCCTTGTCGTATAGTATTCGTATTGATTATGCCCTAAACCCTAAACCCTAAACTCCTAATTTAAAACCCTCTTATAGCCTTAAATCATACTCTTATGGATTATACCCTAAACCCTAAACCCCTAATTAGTAGCCTTTGAGGCCTTATCGTATAGTATTCGTATTGATGTGATGGGGACGCTTTTCTGGGACCGTCGCACTGTGAGGTCCCTCAGCGCATTCCTGATGGGCCTGGGCAACAAGGCCGGAGCCCCCGGCAAGACGAGGGGTTTTGGGTGTAGGAGTTTAGGGTTTCGGGTTTGAGGTTCAGCGTTTAATGGTTTAGGGTTCAGGGTTTAAGGTTTAGGGTTTAGGGTTTAGGAGTTTAGGGTTTAAAGTTTAAGGTTCAGGGTTTAGGGTTTGTAGGGTTTAGGAGGGTTGGTAATATAGGGACCTAAGTCATTACCATTATATTGCCAGCACCTTTTTCGGGGCTTTTTAGTACAATTATGGTATAGTGGGCCCCGAAACCCCGTTCCAAAGTGTGAAGGCCCCTACCCTGGCCCGGTCTTCGTTTCCTTCGGTCACCGAAGACGGGGCTGCATCCGAGCCCCTTCGTGCAAAGCGCGAACCCAGAGAGCCCAATACCCCTTAATTAAGGAATATGCCTTAGACCATACTACTAAGGTCCCTATCATTTAAGGAATTTAAGGGGTATATTCCTTAACTAACGGGTTTTGGGCTCTCTGGGAAACTTCATCAGTTCAGTCCATCGTCGGCCACGTAGCAGCTTAGGTCTCAGGGTCTCAAGAGGGCCCTAAATCCGAACTTTAACCCTGAGCCAAGACCAACACCTCGATTCCTAAAGACTGACAAAGGGGTCGTAATAACCACTGGTAGTAGTAGACCCTGAAAGTCCCGCCATATTTCTATTGATCCCCAAAACCGTTGAAATCCAAAATGCCCGCAATAAGAAGCCCCAGAGACCGAACCCAGGCCGCGCGGGTGAACGGCGGGCTTCTTGCGGTGGCCGCAATGCGAGGGGCCCCGCGAAGGGGGGTTGAATATAACGGCATAAATAAATAAGCGGCTTGGGGATTCACATGTCTTGGAACATTTGAGGGTCAACAGTGGGATGAAGATTGTTGAGGAGTTTTGGAGAGCCGACTTTCACAGCTTGGGTAGCCTGAGGCTTCAGGACTGGGCTTTTGCATAGGAGGCTCAAATCCAGAGCTTTGGAGTACCATACTTTAATGCTTTTTTTTGGGGACCTGTTCCTTAAAGGAGCCATTATGAAATAAACGTCTATACTTTTTTCTCCCAGGTTACTTCAAAGCCCGGAATCCCATCCCTGAACCCAACACATTTCGGGAATCGTATTTGGATGTGCGCCAAATCAGCAAAGGGTGCCATACAGGGCTGCCCTAGCCCCTAGCCACGGAAACGTCACTACCATGCCCTGTACCTGACTCTGCAAGACCTACACCGCAATTGGTACCTGGAGGCATGACAACTGTGCTGAACAAATGTCTTATTACCAAGAGCAATTACTTGAACGTATACGCAGTAGCAGTAGCTTCATCAGCAGTGGCATTGGCACTGATGGACTATTGTACTTCTACTTCTTTTTTGTGCACATACTCGTCGCTGTCGTGGGAGTAGCAGTAGTAGCAGCAGTATTTTCGAAGGCAACTGTGGCGCCAAAATCAATAAAGCAGTACTTGTTAAATTAAAGACAGCAGCAATACCAAAATGCGAGAGTAACATGGGCAGGCCATGAACTATGCTTGTTCGTGAGAGCTTGCGCTATATGAGAGGCAAGAACTTTAGGATGCCCTTACCAGGGCCCCTACTTAAACTACTGAAGGCATCAAGACTTATCCCTTGGTCTGAGGATCATGGTGACCGTGCCAGTTTTCAAATTCCTGCGGCGCTCGCTGGATGTGAGCAAGGCACATGCATCAATGCAATCGGGGTTGTGCTCATTTCACCAAACTCACCAAGCCCTTAATAAACCCTAAACCCCTAAACCCTAAATCCCACACCTTTTGGGTATAGAGTTTGGGGCTTTGTAAGGACGTACTTTGGAAAGGACCTTTGCTTCTGGAAGCATCTGTAAGTGGGAGGCGCTGGACGCCGCGAGCCCTAAATACCCCGAGGCTTGCACTAAGTCCACGGATGTTGTCAGTGTGTTTGTGGGTTGCGAAGCTGACTATATGGCAGTGCCGAGCAGGGCCGCAGTGTTGCATCTATTATCATCTGCGCCCCTTTTAACAAAGGTCCTTAACTTCAACGACATGCTGAGCCCCCGAGGGAAGGTTTACATCATTTACATCTAAGTCTAGCGCCCTCACAGAGCCGCCGAGGGCACCCGGCAGCACTAGGGATTCGCAATGGGATTCCGGTACTGTGGTTGAGGCTTCAGGGGTTCAGGACTAGCATACCTGTTTCGTGTGCCTTACAGGCTGAAGGTCCTCAAGTCAAATGCACCAGTAAACCTTAAACCCGAGATTCTGAACCTTCGAACCCGGAAAGCTAAAAACACGTATGCATTACTTGCATGTTATATACTATACATCATATTATCTTACATAAACCCTGGTTCCAGTTCTTTTGTCAGGCCAAGGCGATCCAGCCCATGACGGACAGATCTTTGGTCCAGGCTCGGGTCGTTGCGCGTTGAAAAGACCACCGGTAACGCCTAAACCCTAAGGCCATCTAAACCCGAACCCCTAAACTCAAACCCTAAACCCAAAGCAGAATCTGGTGCTGCTGCTTTATTCGGAGTTTTAGGTCAGCGTTGCTTGAAGCAGTTGCGTTGAGGGTGTTTGTCAACCTAAGGAAGGAGGTATGTAAGTCCTGGTCAACATGAGGTTCCAACTATAGCATGTTGAACCCTAATCCCAAACCCTAAACCCAGAGTAAACCCAAAGCCCTAGACCCTAAACCCTACCCTTAACCCTAAACCCTGAGGCACAACCTGGCAAAGCGAACCGCATGGCCTCAGCCCCACAGAAGTCTCGCAGCGACAATCGGCTACAACCTTTTCAACCTTACGAGGGAGTATTTTCATATGAAAATAGTAGGGATAACAACACTTTTCACTATGACTAGTATTGTTAGTATTATTTTGGTTACAACACGTATGATTTCTACATGATCCTAAGAAGGTAGTCCACGCCCAGCGAGGTGATAGGCGCCCTGATGGCCGGCGTGTTGCTGACGGTGCTGCTCGTGGACATTGCCCGGGTCCTGGAACCTGTCAAGTTTAGGGTTGAGGGTTTAGGGTTTAGGCTCGAAGGTTTAGGGTTTAGGCTTGAGGGTTTGGGGTTAAGGCTTGAGGGTTTGGGGTTCAGGGTTCAGGGTTGAGGGTTTAGGTTTTAGGCTTGAGGGTTTGGGGTTCAGGGTTGAGGGTTGAGGGTCCCGATATCTCATGGCATGAGGTGTCGAGGATGCAGGAAGCAGCCGTGTTTCGAGAACCATACCATCAAAGGCATGCTTAGGTCCCGGTCTTGGTCAGCCACATCTAATGTGAAGATCCGTCGCTAAGGACACATGGTAACCAATATGAGCCAGGGGCCTAGTTAATTGCCAATATTTTTTCCTGCGGGCATCTGTTGATAATCATAACTTTTCTCGAACATATTCAAAAAGCCTATTCCAATGGTTAATGCCCCTATATGCTATGCTCGAAAACCACCTTACGGTCAGTGCATTTCGCGCCCAGGTTATCCACTGAGATGTGAGGACGGCTAAGTCCTGTGATTGCGCATGCCTCTCTAGACTTTAAGCGACAAGGAGGAGGCATAGTCTTTCATGGATACGTTGAACCCTAAGCCCCAACCCTAAAAACCCTTTTGCGTTTACTTAAACCAATCCTGAACAAGACGCCGATTTCAGTGAGAATCTCTCCCTCCAGCCGCATTTTTCACCGATGGGCGGCAGAGGTGTCATGATACTGTTTCCAGGCTTCACTTTGGATACTGCCCCCATTTGAGTAAATGTCGAAGAATTTTCTTTTTATTGATAATGGTCCCCTCACTGTACACTGTTGCTGTATGCGGGCAGCAGCCAGGCTTCACCAGCCAAGCATTAGGCTTACAAGCAAGTTTCACAGACAACAATGCCTGCCTGGTCATGTCAAAAGTAGGATCATCGCCCAACAGACCCGAAGAAACATCGACATCCAGCTGAAGCTTTCTGGTGCTATCTCCTGGTGCAAGATGTTGCATCATCACATGTGCTTGCCCCTATTTTTTCATATCATTCACTCAGATGCATGTGGTTGTGCTACATGGTTAGCTGTTCAGGTTCTTTGTGTATGTGGGTCTCCATACTCCCAAGAAGAGGCCCAAGCACCCGAAACCCTGAACCCTAAGACCCTAAACGCTAAAACCCTTAAAGCCTAAAGCCCTAAACCCTAAGACCCGAAACGGCCGATCTCGTCGTTGCAAACGACCGCGAGAGCGCTGCAAAACTGACCGCGGCTTCTGGCTAAGAGCTGCCCCGTTTGCGGTTTAGGGTTTAGGGTTTAGGGTTTAGGGTTCTCAATCCCCAAAACCTCCAGAATGTAAAGCCCAAACCCAGCAGCCAAAAAGCCCCTGCCGAAAGCCCGAAACCCCCGGCGAGACCTTTAAAGCCTACAAACTCCAAGTCCGAATCGCCAAGTGCTTAAGTTGGATGTCCTTTTCAACTCGTGTTTCATTTTTGTTAAACAGATAGGCCCGAAAGTGCTACCAGACTCACTGCTATTCTGTATGTTGTCTCAAAAGGGCCTAAACCCTAAACCCTAAACCCTAAAGCCTTGAAGTCCTACAGTCCTATAGCCCCAAACCCTAAACCTTAGCGGTTCAGCAGACATGCCCTGGCCGAGATCCGGAAGGGCCCCTCATGTAAAGCCCAGGGAGTAGGATCCCTAGATGGGTGGTTGTCAAAATTATGGTGCCTTTTTGGGCCCTTATTATATTACGGCACCTATGATTTAGGGTACCCCCAAAAGGGACCATAATTTTGACAACTACCCAGATTACTATTCCATGCCTGTTCTTCGTGCACTTATCATAAGAGGTAATTATACGTTTTTGTGCCTGCCGTTAGTAGTAGATCATCCCTTGTAACCTTTCGCGATTTCCATGAATTCAGCCTTCGAGTTTCCTTCTGTGAAGGAGATCTGACCCCTTGACGTTGGGGGCTGCTTTGACTGTATCCAGGAACGTCCTACTTCGTCTGCTTCTCCCAAGTCGAAACCCTAAGCCCCACCTTAAGCTACCATAACCTGCTTTTTTAATATAGGTTCTAATTTTGCATCCTAATATGGAGTTTATAAAGACCCTACAAAAAAAAGTAGGTTTCGGTAGTTCATGGCATACCTAAGTCGTGCTCTGAGCTATGCCAGGTACGCTGGGGCTTCGCTGTGAGCCGGTCATGGAGGCGTCGCTGCCGCGTGGGCTGGCGAAGGGCGACTGTGGTAGCTTGTTTAGGGTTTAGTGTTTAGGGTTCTGGGTTTAGGGTGTGTGGGCGATGCCCAACAAGAACGGTGGAACTGAGTCACGGACCCCTCAAAGCGCTTCACAACACCAAAGCAGAAGAGATAGTCTATCCACGGGCAATGTACATCTTCAGGACGGCCGTAACTACACACAGCTTCTGAAAAAAGCCTGAACGTCCCGTCAAAACCAAAGCGCCGGGGTACGTGGCCTAAACCCTAAACCTTATAAGCCCTAAGCCCCATAAACCCTATAAGCCCTAAGCCCTAATCCCTAAACCCTATAAGCCCTAAGCCCTATAAACCCTGAAAACCCTAAGCCCTATAAACCCTATAAGCCCTAAGCCCTAAACCCTAAACCCTGGTTCCGAACAAGAGCCCGCAGAACTCCGGACAGGCGCTTGCGAAAACGGCACAGAGCCGGATCTGGCGTTTCGGCCCCGGAGACCTCCTGAAGGCCTGGAGCTTTCATAAGTGGTTTAGGTTTTTTTGCTAGGGTTTAGGGTTTAGGGTTTAGGGCAGGGCCACGCGCGCTCTGTGAATGCGCGCTCAGGCGCCATCACGAAAGAAGGGCTTCTCACCAGCTTTGCGATCTTCAGGTATCTACTGTTGGGGTTGGCGGTGTGGTCCGGCTTTATTTGGAGTTGGATTCCTTTTGAAGGCTTGTTTAGAAGGTTTTGGAGTGTCTTATATGAGCTCCATGGTTTTTATGGGGTTTCAGGAATAATCACATTCATAGTATCCCCTCATAGTCTCTACATACTTATAGTGCAATATGCCCGCAAGCCCTATTCTAGTTATAGAGGCCCCTACATTAAGAGAATTCAGGGCTGAGGGTTTGGGCCACCCCATAATCGTTGCTGGTTGGGCGCTTGTGCCGTCTTGAAGGTTCTCCCGAGAGTGTAGGGTTCCAGGGTTTAGGGCTTAGGGGTGCCCTGTTCGGTGCCAGAAGATTTCAGGTATAACCCCATGTGCCTTATGCTCCAGAATGGCATCCAAGAGATCTCGAACGGCAGTTTCTATAGGCCTGAAGCATGAACCTTTGCTTAAGCAGTCCACGCTTGTGCCCTATGCAAAACGCCGTTTCAAACCTTGTGAACCTGTATAAACCCCTATAGGACCCGATAAAAACTCATATTTACAGCAACAGCACGATAAGAATAGTAGTACGACTCATGAATACTACGAACATGACTCCATTAGCAGTGATACTGATAGATGCTGATCATATTGGTGCGAAGATTGCATTGAAAAAACCAAACACCAACAGTCATGACAACAACAAAAATCATCATGATACCCCTAAACCCTAAAGCCTTCTTGCTCTTTGCTGGATTCCCCGCCCTTTTGCAGCTCATCTTTGGCTTCGTGGCGGTCGGGCTGAGGCCGGGGCAGCGTGTCTTGGTCAGTGAGGTGAACACGGCATATCCAAAGAGCCGAATACGCGCTGAGGTATGTAAGTATATAGACACGTATATGTATTGATATATATATATATATATAGACACAGGTATACATCTACATATATATATATATATGCATTCATTCCATAGCTAGGGCTTCGGGGGCATTGTGCTCTCTTGGCATCACACTTAACCCTTACCAACCAAGCCCCCACGGATCTGTTCCTTCCAAGTGGCGCCTGCAACTAGATCAGAGACCTGCGATCCGTGATGGGGCGTAACTGTAACTGTGCGATGTCCGCAACAGTGTGTGGTTCTAGGTATCAGCTGGCTAATGAACCTTCAATACCGCTTAATACTTCATCTTGGCTGCAACAGACAGGCTGTACGTGTTGCTTTGTTCATTCGTGTTGATGGAACTTAGTTTTCTCTACGAATCACGTCGCATGGGCACTTCGGCTCGAAACTATAAACCAGAACGGAACTGCCGCAAGGCATTGGGAGCTGCTGGATGCCATTGCAGAGGCCAAGTCTTGCCAAGAGAATCAGCGGGCGTTTTCGTGCGTTTCGCTTAACCGCTCAGGCTGCTCAGGGGCAAGAGCCTGCAAGAGCGGCATTCGTGGTGACAGACGGGATGGTGATATCACCTGCACCATGGTCATCACTACCCACTACTTATTTCATGTTGTTGTGCAGGATGCTTGTGGCGAAACGAGAATGATGATGTTGGCGACGATGAAGACGAACGTCCAATCAATAAGATAGCACGGTCATGGACGAAGCCGTTACGGGTCATCTCGACAGCATCACCAGCAACAACGAATGGTATCTTCGTCGTATCCATCATCGTTACCACCATGTCAACCGAGATCTCTGTTATCATCAGAACTCTTCTTCATCACATAGTCATAGTCACCATCTTACTAACCTTATCACCAGTTGACCGTCATCCTTGCAGCTTCCAGTGGGCAAATCAGAACTCTTATCGTTGTGATGACTGTCATTGTTCCTTTTGCCACTTCCTCATGTATTTGTCTTCGTCCTTCTTGTTTTCGTCGGCATCAGTAGTATAGAGGCCTAAATTACTGCCAATACTATTGCGGGGGGTCACTTATTATTAATATAGTGTCTTGGGCCCCAAAACCCTACTTTAATTATTAAGGCCCCTACATTACGCCCTTCCGCCAGAGAAGATCAGCTTCTCTGCTCCCAGCCCGGTTTTGGGTTGAGGGCTTAGGCGAACCGGGTTTAGGGTTTAGGGGTTTGGGTTTACGGTTTCGGGTTTAGGGTTTATGGTTTAGGGGTGGAGGCTTCCAAGAAATTATTTAAGTTGAAGGCATGTTCCCGTTGCTTGATATTCCTGTAATCAAGAAAAGTTTTGCGCAGCTTGGTGCGTGAAGTTGGAGTTATAAGACTCAGCGCCCAAAGTCTTGGAAGACCCTAAACCCTAGCGCCCAAAGTCTTGGAAAGAGCTGACCGTCAACCCCCGGGATGACTGAAAGGCAAGCTCCTGGTCCCTCTCGAAGATGACGCCCTCAGGCAGAACTTGGGTTTACTTCAGAGTCAGGGTCTCGTCGCTGTTTTGGACGTATTGGTGTTTTGGGCCGTCCAACTTCAGGCTTTCAATCAGCATTCAGGGTACATAATTACTCCGCATCGTCGTCGTTGTCCTGGCCATGGTTGTTGGTTTGTTGTCGTTGCTGCAGATGTTGAGGTGGTCGTGTTGTTGGTGGTAGTGCTAGTTTTCTTGTTGTTCTCAATTGCTGGAGTGTGTTCCTCGTTGTTCCACTGTTACCCTCCTTCTGCAGCTCTGTCAAGCGTCGTTCTGCAGCTGACACAGCATCGCAGGATTGCAGAGATGAGTATCGTTATCATGGAGTGCTGCTCTACCTTAAATCCTAAACCGTAATTACGCCCTAAACCCTAAACCCCTAAAGTTTGGCGTTTGAATGGTCTAAGGGTCCAGTGTTTGTCCCAATTATCGCCGAAGCCGCGTCCGTTATCTCGGCCTTCCCAAATAATATAGGAGTTATAGGTTTGTAATTGTAGAGAGAGTTATAGGTCATTTATGCAGTTATAGGTTTTGTTGGGAGTGACTTAAAGGCTTTTCATGGAAAGCTGTCTGTTGTCGAATGCCGGAGTTGATACATGTAGCTTGGGAGGGTTTTAATATTTTAATGCACCTTACTTTCTTAAACCTTCCCTGTTTAAGCGATTGAATCCGATGTTTGCTCCTCTTGACCCCGCAGGTCTTGCGCAACTGTCCTGGTCCTTTGCAACGCGTCTCGGCTGAACAGAAGTTCTCCCGAGCACCGCTTCGTGAGCTTGTGAAGATGCTAGAAAACTGTTAGCTGTGGCTTGATAGTATGGTCAGCCGAGAGTTTTGATAAAGAAGCCGGCTGTTGTTGCTGACAGAGATGCAGATGATGATGATCATGATCATGATGGTGATGATGATGATGACGATGATAATGATGATGACGATGCCTTGTCTGGCAACGACGACGGCAAACATGATGACTCCTCGCTGATCATGATGCTGACGACGTGGATGATGTCCAGAACGGACGTGATGTTGGTGATTGCTACGACGACTGTGGCTCTGGTGATTGCTGACGAAGGGTGCCTTGTAGATATTGACAAATCTGATGCCCATGCAACGCTGTAGGCGACGGTGATGACATGGATTATGGTGATGCTTCCGGTGGTTGTAAACAATGCAATGACGACGATGAATATACTGATGCTTTTGAGGATCAGGATCTGTATCCGGAGATTTACCCTGGTCATGGTCGTGACCGTTGTATTGGTATTGGTGGTGTTAGTGCTGGCGACAGTCATGACGATGATCGTGATGACGTTCATGCTATAATTGGCTACCTACTGTCCCACCTGCCAGAAATCTGAACCGTGTAGACTAATATCAGACACCAGCTCCTTAATTTCCATTGCCGCACAGGCTTGGTGTGCCCAAGCAAGAGCTCATGGCGGCAATAGCGCTTCAGGTGCATGCCGCTGGCGGGGATGATGGTGATGATGAATTTGAAGATGATTGTCATGCCGATGAGTATGATGGCAGGTGACGATGATGACCGTCAATCATTACAGGAATGCTCCTTTTAGTAGGTCAAGCTCCACGGGTTTGAGAAGAGATGACCTTCTTGGTCTTCTCGTTCACTGCACTGCCCAGCGTTTCGTTGTTGTTTCTTTTTCGACCTTTGATCGGTTCCTTGGTGCGGAAGGCCGGGAGTAAGCAGACAGAAACACCACGATCTGTTCGGAGGTCGCACCCCAAGTTGGTGGTATGTCAGAAGCCGACCTGGCAACAGTCGCTCTCCCAGAGGATCATCGGACGGTCTTGAGCCTTATAAGCCTTAAGCTTCAGGGTCCAGTCCAGCGCCTCAGAGCTGTTGGTTCTTGTTCATTTGGTTGGTGCTGACCCGTTTTGTAATGCCACATCCGCTTTTTTGAACTGTGGCCAGCATACTGTATGTAGTTGTCCGGTTGTGGAGCACAGAGGCAGATCCGTTGTCGCCTGGGCGATGACACGCAGTTATGAACATAGCAGGCCTCTCTTTGCACGAGCTTCCAGTCTCAGACTCAAAGCACAAGCGCTTGCTGACTGAGTTGCACATCACCAGCACGAGAAGGAAGGTGGTAGAGCACGAGAGCTCAGAAAACTCTACTGGTCCACGCTCAACGGGGACCCCAATATAGAGAATTACCCCTATGAGCCAGCCTCTGCAAGGTCGCGTGGTCTTTCGCCTCACTTCGCCGGCATCTTAAATGTGCGAGATGGTCCTTTTTGACAATTTGCTTAATTCTGGGGACCATGCCAGATGGTTTACTGTAGACGCCTAAATACTTGCAATAATTTGTTTGGGGGGTCCTTATATTATAGTAGAATTTACCCCAAAACCCTGTTGTAATTATTAAGGCCCCTACTTTTTGGTCCAATCTGAGAAGATTCAGCAGTCGACTCTAATTCCCGAGTGCATATGCTTCTCATGTGAAGTGGGTTCGGTATGGGGTCTTAGCACTGAAGCCTATATAAGCCCATAAAGGGAATCGTAAGGCTGCGCTACTGTCAGGTCTGCGACATGGCCGGTTAATGCACAGCATCGCAAAGGAGGCACTGGATGAGGATTAAGAGTTTGGGGTTTAGGGGTTAACCCCAAGGGTCCAAAGGACCCAATAATTAGGTACTCGGGAATAGCTATGTAGGTTACTATTTGGGAGAGTATATGATAAGTAGGTACTTGGACCCTTAGGGTTAAGGTTTAGCGGGGTACATCACGGGAAGGGCTTGAACCTGCTGCGGATGGTAGGTTCACAGCTTCGCTACAAAGTTGTCGAAGCACTGCGTCTAACCTAAACCAGTAGCCTCTCTAGGATGCTAACATGGTTGATGCAAGGCCGTGCTCGAGATTGTTTCTTCGAAATCGACAACCTCCGAAATCAGGCCCAGCAGACTGATGTTATTAGATGGGAAGTGAAAAGGATGGTCATGCTAGTAGTTTTAACAGTAGCATGAGCCTGTCATGCAGCAGGAACCTCAACAAGAACAACAGTACTGTAGAATTGTCATACTTTGACTACTAACAGCGTTTGCTTATTACCATGTTGAAGCAGTAGAACTAAGGAGTGCAACGATAATGGTAGGTAGAAGAGAAGCAACCACAACAGCAATCTTAACACATCAGAACAACGACAGTATCAGCATGACCACACTCACAGTCAAAGCAGGAGCACAAGGAGCTTCGATGCCCCAAGGATGCCATGAAGCCCAACCCAAAAACCTTAAACCCCCTCAACATCCGCAAACTCCGAACCCTGAACCCTAAACCCCAAACCCTGAAACCCTAAACCCTAAACCCTTTAAAAAAAAAACCCTAAACTGAACCGGAAAGATGCCCTCAATGCCATGGCTTTGGGCCTGGAGCACAGCGTGCTGCTGCTGAGCGACGGCGACGCAGTGGCCTTCGGCCGGAACAGCTACGGCCAGTGTGCCGCTGAGCAGCCAAGCGCTTCCTTGTCGGAGTTTCCGCAAGGATTCCTTTAAGGGTTCCTATAAGTGTTCCTTTAATTAAGTCGGGGGCTACTATAGTTACTATAAGGTTTACTATAAGTGTGTTGGGGGTTTTGGCTGAGGGCCCACACCATACTACACTAAAGCCCGCAAATATGCACCCCTCAACCATAATACTCCAAGACACCCAAGCGCAATTAAGTCCAAAAGCCCTAATGCCAGAAAGCCCCCAGAATCCTAGAGCCCGAGCTACAATTAGGGTTTAAGGTTTAGGGTTTAGTAACTTAATAAGATACCCTAAGGGTCCAAGTAGTCCTTATTTATGGTTTTAGGCACCCAAAAAGGCCCCAAAGTCTTTGAATAATTTGCACTTGGACCCTTAGGGATATACCCATAGGCCCTATGCTACAGTAGTTCCTTTGTGGGCTTCATATATATATATATATAGAATCCCATAAGGTAACCCCAAAAAGGAACTACTATGGGGCCTATGGGTATAAACCCTAAACCCTAAACCCTAACTCCTGAACCCTAAACTCTAAACCCTAAGCCCCTAAACCCTATACTATCGCTGAAGATTCCGCCCCACAAGGAAATCCCCGAGCTCCCAGACGAAAGCGATGACGAGCCAGCCAGGCTCGAAGCAGGGCCTATCTTCCACCCTTTTGGGTGCTTGAGGTTTGCTGGTTTACTTATGATTCTGAATATTTCTTATTATTATCATTAGTTTTATTATTGTTGTAGGATTATTATTATATGCTTATTTTTTATATGATTATTGTTTAGCATTTCTTACTAGTACTTTGATTGCTTCCTAAAGCTTCTAGATTTTTTTACAGTGAGTGCTTACGGCTTCGAGGCTGCGGGTATGGCTCTCGGATACCCTCTTTGTTTTTAACTTTGGAGTCGACGCGGGCGAAGACTTAAAGAGCTCGAGCTGCAGCTACTACTATATAGGGTTCAGGGTTATATAGGGTTCTTATAGGGTTATATAGGGTTATATAACATATAGGATTATATGGGCTTTAGGGATGTTTAGGGTTTGGGACATTTCTTCTCGCGGCAATACCATTGCATTGGCACTTATGTTTCTCATATTGCTTTGGTGGTTTCAACTCTTCTCCACTATGAAGATGGTGGTGATGATGACGTTGGCGATGCCTCTACTGTTGATGAATGCTGTCTTCAATCCTGACATTCGACAGTACAGTGTGCTGGCTTCCTTGACTCTGCCTGGGGAACTTCTTGTCTGACTGGTGGCTTGAAGTTAGATGGTTGCGGTTACTATTCCGCGCCCATTATCAGTGTGACCACCACGACTGCTGCACAACCGTTGCACTCAGTACAGCCAAATCGTCTCTTTCGCACTTGATTGATTTCCTCTCGGGTTTCGGCGTGGCGCATTGCGAAACCTTGAGCCTACACCGAGCCGCCAATTCTTCAACTCTGAATTAGATAAACCCCACACTAGTTCTTGAACCTTTGAGCCCTGAGCCTTACGCTGCAAAGTTGGGCCCCAAACCGACACGACCCTTGCGCAAGTCGCTACGTCGGAGCATCGGCTGGCATTAGCCACACTGCCCTGCTGCGCAGCGATGGGCAGGCTGTGGCGCGTCAGGAAAGCCTGTTGAGGGTTTGAGGTTTTGGCAGCGTTGGAACATCCGAGCTGTTGCAGCAAGACCAGTACACATGCTCTTTTGGTGTTACTACATGATCGTCATGCGGGGTTGCAGAGCCCGTTTTATGCTTAGCCGCACTCTGATCGCAGCAGGGAGTTTTGGCAGACAATTGTGATCTACGGTATACAAACGGAGGCGTGAAGCTTACTAGCGGCTTACTAGCGACTACACATACTAAACTACGAACAACTGCCAAGCATTACTACTACCTACTACTAACTTCTATCCGACTAATCACTACTCTGCACTGCTTCTACTACCACTACCACGAACACTGCTACGGCTGCTCCGTTGCGTTTACCCCTACTGCGACGGCTGCTGAGACCATGATCGTAGCCGCCGAGGTCGTTTTCGGAAGCACCTCGTACGGCGAGTGCCAGGTTCTGGGCTGAGTGTTTGTCTTGGTGATATATATATATATATAATGTGCGTGTATATACCTATATTATATATATATATATATTTATATGTTTTGCTCTGCATTCTTCAAGAATGCCAGAAAGTCCGGTCCATGCGTGAGAATGCGGCACCAAGCGAGCAGTTGTAGAGCCAGCCTCGAACCGCCCGATTTTGCAAAGCCATGCTCAGGTGCCGGAACTACCCACAGGTACCAGCTACGTCCAGGTGGGTAGTTGCCAAAATTATGGTACCTTTCTGGGTACCCTAAATATTAGGTGCCGTATTATTATAAGGACCCAAAAAGGGACCCTAATTTTGACAACCATCCAGGTCGTCGCAGGCTACACCTTCACACTGCTGTTGAGGCTCGGTCCTCGAAATCTCTTGCATAAAGCTTGAATGATCCTGCTTCGAGGATGGAGTGGACTCCCGCTTCGAAAAGTCAATCTGATATCCATAGTTCGACGAACAGGTTTGGAAGGAATGTCGGGGTTTAGTGCTTGGGCTTGGGCCATCGTACCATCTCAGGCATGTAGGAGTTACCGGAATGCTAGCTTCACGAAGTCTCATGGACTTGCCAGAAGTTGAGGAAGCCGAAACAGCAACTGGAACCAGCTCCCCGTATCTATCTATTTATCTATCTATCTATCTATCTATCTATCTAGATAAGTAGATAAGTAGATATGTAGATAGATAGATCGATAGATAGATAGGTTTATGTATGTCTTTATATATATACATATCCATATATGGCTGTTTAGAGAGAGAGAGAGAGAGAGAGAGACTTGTAGACAAAATGAGCAAAAGACGTTGTCTTCACGAGGGAATTCAAGTTTCGTTCTTAGAGCTCCGTGAGACCCACTGAAGAGCTCAAATCCCAAGCCAAGAACCCTAACCGAACCAGAACAACCCTAGGCCCGAAACCATAAAACCCGAAACCTTAAACCCTAATAGGGCTTTGGTTTAGGGTTGGAAACCTCCGAAGCGCTGTTGGAGGAGCGACGGCGCCGCTGTCGCCTTCGGAGACAACTCTGCTGGGCAGTGTGACCTCCCTGAGGGCCGAGGCGGCTGCTCCTGCGATGTTCGGGGGTTTAGGGTTTAGGGTTTAGAGCTTCATGGTTTTCGGCTTTGGGGATGTAGAGTTTAGGGCTTAGGGTTTAGAGCTTCATGGTTTCCGGCTTTGGGGATGTAGAGTTTAGGGTTTAGGGCTTCATGGTTTTCGGCTTTGGGGATTTAGAGTTTAGGGTTTAGGGTTTAGTAGCTTCATGGTTTTCGGCTTTGGGGATGTTGAGTTTAGGGTTTAGGGTTTAGCTTCATGGTTTTCGGCCTTGGGGATTTAGAGTTTAGGGCTTAGGGTTTAGAGCCTCATGGTTTTCGGCTTTGGGGATGTTGAGTTTAGGGTTTAGGGTTTAGAGCCTCATGGTTTTCGGCTTTGGGGAGGTAGAGTGTAGGGTTTAGGGTTTAGCGCTTCATGGCTTTCGGCTCTGGGGATTTAGAGGTTCCAGTTTCAGGGTTTAGAGCTCCGTGGCTTTAGGCTTTGGGGTTTTCAGGACTTTGTCGGAGCCCTTCGGCAGATGAAGGTTGTTCTAAGCCACCGCCCCACATTTTACAACAGGTCTTTGCGAACAGCTCCCCTTAACTCCAGAACCGCCCCAAAACAACCGTTAAACTTGACTTCTCCCAGCGGCACTAGAGTCACTAGAGCACCCCGAGTCCTTGCTGCTAAAAGCTGCAATTAGACTGTAAATCCCAAAAACGCTTCGTCCTAAACCCGAAAAAAACCCTAAGCCTAAGCCCCAAATCCTCAGCGCCGGGATCCTCACCTCCGATATACCCCTTGAGGGCCTTAATCCTAAACCCGGAAACCCTGAACCTTAGAATCTAAGGTTCAGGGTTTCTTAGAAACCCTAAACTCCTCTCTCTCCCAGATCTGTGAGGCTATGTGGGAGCAGCAGCCGGGCGAACACATGCAGTGCTCCTGCGTGAGGCCGGATGACCCGGCCCAACGCCCTTCGTCGGACCTTTGTCTAGTTTGAGCTTAGGGTTTCGGTTTTGGGTTATTGTTCTTTAACCTGGGCTGTTGCATTCTCAACGTGAGGGCTCGTGCTTGTGCGTGTGGGGGTTTAGGCTAGGGTTGGAGGGTTGGCTCAGTAGCTGAGTGGATACACTTTACACTTTTTTGGATAATATTACCTATTATAAAACTGAAAGTGTACACTTTTCTGGGCTTATGAACTCAGCAACTAAGTTGGGTTTAAAGGTTTAAAGTCTTGGGTCTGGGAGCCGGCAGGATGGATCCGCCGTGGCCTGGGGCTTGAAGAAGTCAGGCCGGAAGCCCGGTCCTGTACTTGGAGGTTCACGGGTAGCTATACGTGGGGTTATGGGGTTCCTTTAAGGGTTCCTTTAAAGGGTTCTATAGTAGGGTTTTGGGTTTAGGGGTTTCATGGGTAGTTCTAAGTGGTGTTATAAGTAGGGTAACTATAGTTAGAACCCATATCCGGGGATTTACAACCCTACTTATAACTAGCCGTGAACCTCCAAGTAGGGGTTGAAAGGATTAATGTAAGGGCCTTAATAATCAGAATAGGGTTTGGGGGCATATTATACTATGATTATAAAGGAAGGAGCCCCCAAAACCCCTAGTCTAATTATTAAGGCTCCTATATTCAGGGTTTCAGGGTTAAGGGTTTAAGGGTTTAGTTTTTTTGTTCAATAGGGTCTTTACTGGGGGTCTTACAGTACTTCTTTAAATCGGGGCCTGCATAATTGGAGGAGTGTAGAGCGGGCTCTCGGCACTTTCTTGGAAACCACTTCACGCCAAAGCTACGAAGCATTCATGCCAACGTTCTTGCCTGGAAGCCAGACATCTCCCAAAGAGGTGCGAGACCACAAATGAAGACTGATTCACCGCAGTGACAAGTTAAGCAGGGAAACAAACAGTGTATATATATATATATATCCTATAAACCCTACACTGCCCGAGGCTCTTGCACAGTACCAAGTCTCCCTGAGGGAGTGCGCTACATCGAGGCTGCTGCAGGCCGGCAGGGGGAGACGGGTTTGGAGCGGCTCGGGGCTTCTCAAAAGTAAAGGGCCTTAACCCTAAACCCTAAACCCGAATCCCTAAACCCTAAACGTGGGTTTTTTTTGTATTTGAGTGGTCCTTCGATTTCAGGTCCAGCTGTTGCTTTGCGCAGATTGAACTGAGTAATGTTCCGGAGTTCGGACATTGCGTCAGGCTCGAGGTTTTCAGCATGCACATCTGGGGCCATCACCCTGGTCAGAAATACTTGTGTACTTATCTGGTTCAGGGTAGTAGCAAACTCACTTGCAGGTCAATATGTGTTGTAGTATATCATGATGGCTCGATAGTTGGATCCCTACGGCCCTACGGTATTGCAGCGAATCCACGCAGCGTCCCGCGTCGCCTACGGCCCTCCAGTGGCGGTTCGTCGTAGACATGCTCACCACACGGTCCTGTCTTGTGGGATGTCAAGTTGATGTCGACGGGTCGACGAAAATCTGCGAGTACTTTTTGTAGTTCGCAATGATACTTGCAGGTTACCCAGCTGTACTTCGGAAATTGGGCGTTCATTCGTCTTGTGCCGCAAGCTCATTTCCGGGAGGCGGCGACCACACGGTCCTGATTCGGGACGATGGGCAGGCCCAACGTGAGCCTGTTGCTGTGCAGCGCTTCGCACCCCAAGTCTACTACACCTGGGCCTTAGTCAGCGCTCTCTTTTGGGGTACCTGATTACCTTGTTCCCTTTATCAGTGGGCTCTCTACCTCGGTCATGACCACCACAGTTGTGTTTGACCTAAGGGAGAACTAGCTTCCGAGCCCGATGCACCCTCAGCCCAAGGCCTTAGCGCCTTTGCCTAAGCCCCAATTCCCTAAATCCTGTCCGTACTTGAAACCTTTTCAGTCCTGATATAAAACGTATAGTAAATCCTAAACCCTAAACCCTAAACCCTAGAGAGACCTGCAGAAGGTGCCTTTCCTCCTACCAAGCTCAAGCAGGCGGTGGCCTTCGGTCACAACGGTGCAGGGCAGTGTGAGCTTCCGCCTCTTCCGGAGGCCTTCGGACAAGAGCTGACGGGCTTTGGATGTTCGGATTTGTTTTTAATATTTAGGCTTAGGGTTCGGCGCGGGGCTTCTAGGGTTTAGGCTTTATGGCTCGGTTTGGGTTTTAGGGCTGAGTTCCGGCTTCGCAGAAATGTAGGAATGGCTGCTGTAGCAGGGAGAACTCTAGGGAACCGGACAAGAGTTGTATGGGGACCATTGGCAAAAGAAGTTCCGTTCAAAACCCGAACTAGGAGACCTCGAGGCATGACAAGGTACTGGGCACGAACCTTCATGCGGTCTTTCTCGATTCTTGCTTGTGCTGGTACGCATCTTGTGAGATGCATATGCATCTGTAGAGGTGTGGCGAGAACACTAGCCGCGATGTGGACGATCTGCTGGAGCAATGCTGGCTCCACATCTGATGATATGCCATGTAGAGCTGGTGAACGGTGTCGAGGTAGGAGCTTGTTCAAGAAAGAACCCGAGAACCTGCTGTTGCCCTCGAAGCGTTTCTCCGTGCACAGGGGCTGCGGTACGTCTCCTGCGCTGCCGGATGGACGCACACGGTGAGACCCAAGCAGTATTGGTTGAAAGTGTGCAGAGCCTGTACAGCCACTCCAATCTCTCTCTCCCTCTCTCGCTTCCTCCCTCGCTCCCTTCCCATATACGTATACGTATATTCATTTCACTTACATACATACATACATGCAGGCACTCAGACAGACAGACAGACAGACCGACCGACGGACGGACGGACGGACGGACGGACGGACGGACAGACAGACAGACAGACACACACACACACACACATGCGACAGCTGCTTCAGCTGCTGTGCTGCTGCTGGCGCAGCCGCCAGCTAGCAGCTAGCAGCAGCTAAGAACACTACCAGGGTTCACAGCCATTACCGAGCCACGGTTTCCACTGAGTATTGCGATTGCAACAAATCCCCTCAACCTCGCACTCATACTGCTCGGATGGCCATTCCCATTCATCGTTCCTATTAATGGGCAAATTCAGGGGCGCGAAAGTCTCGAAGTGAAGACCCTAAACCCTAAACCCTAAACCCTAAAGGTGCTCCTCCGCGACGATGGGTTGGCTCTGTGTGTGGGCGGGAACGGCCGTGGTCAGCTTCGGGCCCAGACTGCTGAGCTGCAGGCTTTGGGGTTTAGGGTTTAGGGTTTCGGGGTATCAGTACTACCGGTTATACTATCGTGGTAGCAGTATTTTGGGGGCCAAAATAATTACCAAATAGCATCGGTTGTCCTGATTATCAATTTAAAATATTGGACCCCGAAGCCCCATTCTAACTATGAAGGCCCCTACATGAACGTCTAAGGGTCATGTCTGGATCTGTCTTCGGGGTCGGGTTCTGAGGTCTGGGGCTGACCCGCGTTTTGTGCGGGTTTCTGGACTTCTTGGGGCTCTTCATGCAGTACCTGGAGGTTCATGGGTGATTATAAGTGGGGTTATAAGTAGGGTAATTCTAGTTATAACCCATGATAGGGGATTTATAACCCTACTTCTAACTACCCATGAACCTCCAAGTGCTGAGCCTTGGTATCCAAGACGTGAATTTGGACAAAAGCTTCAGCTGAAGCTCCGCGTTACCAGAAACCTGCAGGCACATTTCCATGCCCTGTCGCAAAGGAGTCAGAATTCAGTCAGGACTTTAGGTGAGCATTTCCCCGAAAGCTTAAATCCTAAACCAACACCCTGAAGCCCGAAACCTAAAACCCCCCAAACCCGAATCCCTAAACCCTGGTTCTTTGTTATACATTTGCAGCTTAATGGTATAAAGTACCACCAAAACCTATTCTACTTACTCAAGGCCCTAAAACTGTTGGCCCCAAACCCTAAAAATAACCCTAAACCTAAAACCCCAAACCCTAAACTTCGACTTCGCCTAAGCCGCCACTGAGGTGTAATATCCCTCAAGGCCTGGCCAATAACTGCGTGGCCATCGCAGCCGGGGGCGCCCACACGCTGCCACCCGATCATTCTTTGGGGTTCAGGGTTTAGGGTTTTTGAGGTTCAGGGTTTAGGGTTTAGGGTTTAGGGTTCAGGGTTCAGGGTTCAGGGTTTAGGGTTCAGGGTTTTAGGGTTCAGGGTTCAGGGCGGTTTAGGGTTTAGGGTTCAGGGCTTTGGGGCTCAGTATCAGCTGTTCAGGGCCTACTTCTAGTATAGCATAGTGTAGTACAGTATCTTATGGTATAGAGCAGAGCATTACTTAATCGTTCCGGCAAGAGGCAACCGCCGAGCTGGATCGACTCTTATTTCAGAGGTAGGCTAAATGTTGGGGCCTTAAAATACTACTTATACTATGTATTATAGTATAATATACCCCCAAACCCTATCCTAATTACAAAGGCCCCGAGATTAGAGTCATTCCCGGGCTTCGGGCATGGATCCCTTAGATTCAAGTCCGGGAGGGGCCCCAAAGGCCTAACGACTCCTGGGGTTTCATAACAGTTTAGGGTTTAGGGTTTAGGGTGTAGGGTTTCAGGCTGCTTTGCAGCGATGGCCGAGCCGTGATTTTTGGCGACGACAAGGCCAGAGTTCAGGGCGCCGTTCATTTTAATCTGTTGAAAGGCACCCTAAACCCTAAACCCTAAACCCTAAACCCTACACCCATACCCCTGTTGAAAAGCAAAGCAAGAATTCACTGTTTTTTTGCCGGCTGGAGTCGGGTGAGCCCTGTTCTGGCAAACCGTAGTTCTTGGTTTAGGGTTTAGGGTTTAGGGGTTTAGGGCAGTGAGCATGTGTGTTGGCTTGTGAGGTGGGGAGCGATCTTGTCTGCACAAGGGTGGTAGCCAGGCCTAGCGATGAGACATGTTCTTCAATCTATAGAATCTATTGGAATCTATGGTATATTGCCTGTTTTTTTTACATGCTTGTCTTGTTATGTTGATTGTTGTGAGTATGGTCATGACCATGGTTTCGTTAGATGCATCTGCAGTGCTAGCATGCTTCAGCACGCTGATTATGGTTAGGGGCTCGGGGGCTTGTAAGCCGGCATGAGTACGAGTACCTCAAACTGACTTCTGCAAGCCTTAGGAAGCCTACAAGGAAGAGCCCATAAGCCACCCAGCAATGAAGTTGCAACAAAGGGAGAACCGAGACCCTAAACCCTAAACCCTAAACCCTAAACCCTAAACCCTAAACCCTAAACCCTAAACCCTAAACCCCTAAACCCCTAAACCCTAAGTCTCCCTGCCAGTGTGGGCAGTGCGCCCCTCCCGACATCTCGGAGAATCTTGGCTGCGTCGCCTCGGCCACCGCCAGAGCCGTTCTGGTGGCCACGCTTGGGATCGAGGAGGCCCGGCAGAAGGTTTACTCATAGGCCCTAAAGTAGTTCCTTCTTGGGGTTCATATATAGAATCCTATAAGGTAACCCCAAAGAGGAACTACTATGCCCTGGCTCTTGGGTTGTTGGACTTCGACGGACCGAGCGCCCCTGTTAAAATGTCGCAGAAATTCTGAGAGGGCGCTGTAGACTGCAGACGTTTGACATAGCTGTACAAAGACCGCACGGCGAGCAGATCCATGTAAGTTTCCACGAAAGGCTCCGCAGTTGGTGTATAAGCAAGCGCGTAGAGTAGACCGCGAAAGGGCTCTCAGGGTAGAGAGTCCGTTCGTGTCCACTTAAACACCGGAGGTTCCCACAACCAACCCTCTTGGTCAGTAGTGTCACAGCTATCCTTCCTTGTCAATCGAACCCCATATACAACATACCCCAGGCCTCATGCAGCCCTAAACTTGATTATAAAACCCATGGAAAGCCAAGAAGCACAGCGTGAGACCCATCAGTCCCTAAACCCCAATCCCTAAACCCCATGATTCCTATAAACCCCCAAGAAAGCCTAAACCCCATGATTCCTAAACCCCCAAAAAAGCCTGAACCCTACAAGCCCCAAAAGGATACCCTGGTGGCCCGCTGCGCTTCCGGCGCGGCGATCCACGCGCCCGGCCTGAGCCAGGAGATGCTTTAATATAAGGGGCCTTCGTAATTAGAACATGGTTTTGGGTTTAGGGTTTGGGGTTTTGGGGTTTAGGGAATAGGGAATAGGGTTTAGGGTTTTGGGGTGTAGGGTTTTTTGGTTTCGGTAGTCATAATGGGCCCCACAACCTATATTCTAATTATGAAGGCTCTACATTAGCACAAGGCTCTACATTAGCACATTTGTGTAAGAGGCTCTTTCTCCAAGCCGATGCTTTTCTTATGGGACGGACGGGTGTTTGCAGGGCTGTTATTTATAGGATTCTTACATTTTGGTGTTGCAGGTAAAGGATTGGCGAGCAGGAACCCGGGTTTCGGGTTTAGGGCTTAGGGGTTTCGTTATAGGGTTCCAAGGTGCAGGGGTTTCAGGGTTCAGGGCATAGTGGTTTAGGGCTTAAGGTACAGAGGTTTCGGGTATAGGGGGTTTAGGGTTTACCGTACAGGGGCTTCGGGTTTTGGGTTTATAGGGTTTAGGGTTGGGGACCTCCACCCTCTCCCCTGAACCTTGCAGCAGCATCCTCGCACCTGAATCTCGGACATTTTCAGGTGGGTAGTTACCGCTATAGGAGCCTTATGGAAGGTCTATATACCTTATGGAAGCCTTATAGAAGCCCTATATACCCTAAGTTTCCTTTAACTGAATGTCCCCGCAGCCGTAAACCCCAAACTGATCCAAGCAGCTGTTCGTTTTTCTCTCCGAAGCGCTCGAAGATCCTAGGCCTACAAGTACCCGAATTCTAAGAAGTACCGAGGACCTGCACAAGTAATGCAAGTATGATCACCTCTTACCTCATACTCCTGAACTCTGAACTACCAAGAAAACAGACAGCACCGCTTCAGGAGTCAAGCCTGGCAGAGGCCGGCGGACATTTCCATAGGTCTTAAGGGCCTTAATAATTGAACCCGGGCTCTGGCGTATAATACGAAGAAACCCTGACGAAAACCGATTATGAATATAATGAGGCTCCTATATTAGTAGGCGTTGAAGGGCAGAGATGTTGGAGCTTTGGGACGTGGAGAGGAACGGCAATTTCTGCACATGATGAGGGTCCTTCATTCCCCAAAGCCCTTGTGTAGACTGTCAGGTGAGGCGTGCCTGGACCGTGAAAATTATGGCGTAGCGGTATCGTTTGGGGTTGGGATCTGTCTGTCAAGGGCTCAATTTCTCAGGTTCATCCGCTAGTAGTATATATTATCACCTACACGGCTACACGACGACATAGCCCTGTTGCGTGCGAATTCTAGGCGTGCAGAAGCTCTCAGAAATATGCTGTCCCCGTCAAGTTGGGGTTTCTGAACTATCGTAGGCCCCGAACGAAGGCCCAAATGGCTCGAGCTTCTGGGATTCTTGAATTGGGGAGTGTTTCCTTCCCGAGAGGCTTGGGGTGGCCGTCCTTAGAGTTTGAGGCAGCTTCGGAGCGCAGCTTCGGGAGGGTGTAGGGTTTAGGGATTTGAGAGAGTTTGCGAGAGGTGCGCCGCTGTTTGGCGTCGCGCATGGGGCCCCAGATTGAGACCAAAGCTGCCGCTTGGGTTTCAGGGCTTGATCGAGGACAGAACGGGATGTTGGACTTAAGGCAGCATCAGGATCTGAGGTTCGTGCGCGCTGATATCAGCATCATCTTCCTGAATTTCCTGATATTTCACTGTAGTATTACCCATAGGCCCCATAGTAGTTCCTTTTGGGGATTCCCTAATAGGATCCTTTAAATATAAGCCACAAAAAGGAACTACTACGGGGCCT